GGAGGGTTAACAATTTTACCAAAGTTGAATGTTATTAACCATTGTTTAATTTCAAAATTATCCTTAGTGTCTAAGCATTGCCGACGATGGGCCGTACAATACTTTACTAAAATTTTGAAATTATTAAGATTTAATCTAGTGAAATCTGATTATCCTTATTCGATGGGGCTTCAGCGATAACCATTTCACTAATAAACCCACAAATGGAGCCCACAGGTTTTAAAATTAATTAATTTTAAAAACCTCCACCCATTCAACATTTTTGTTTGAGAATTTTCATAAGCCCTGTCGAATTCATTGTTTAATTTCAAAATTATCTTTAATAACTTAGTATTATCGACGATGGGCCGTACAATACTTTATTAAAATTTTGAAATTATTAAGGCCCAATAAAATCCAATCATGTTAATCCGTTGGGGCCTCACATGATTATATTATTGATAGGCCCACAATGCGCCTGGAGGTTAAATTAATTTCTTAATTTAAATCTCCTCCCATAATTATTTAGGTCCAATCTAATAAAATTCAATCATGCTTATTCGATGGGACTTCACATGATTATTTTATTAATGGTCCTTATAATGCGCTTGAAGGTTAAATTAATTTTTAATTTAAATCTCCTTCCATTCAACATAAGCAACATTTTCTAATTTCCAAGAATTATTTAATTTAGAGTATCCTTTGTTTGATTTCAAAAACTATATAAGTAAGAGCACCGATAAACGTGCACTAAGCTTAACATAATTTTGAAAGCATTAAGGTCCTGAAATCCAGTCACTTTACGTCAGCGTGTGCTCCAAACAATCATGATACATGAATGTTGTATGCAGCGTGTGTTATTCCATGACCATTTCAGAAAACCCACAAATTACTCGCAAAATAAAAGAATTCTTTTAGGAAATTTTCTCTAATTATTTTTCTAGATTTAAATCATCCAAATAGCTGATTTAATTATTAATTTAGATTGCAACAATCATAATAATTATCATTTACGAGGATAATTTGAAATCAAAATAATTTCCATAACGATTATTTGTCTTGATGTTAATTATCCAAAATTAATTAATTCAATTATTAATCTAGATTTTTAATAAAAATCATAATAATTATTAATTAATTTCTTAGGATGATTTAAAATAAAAATAATCCCATAATAACTATCATACTAGTCGTTGAAGACATAATAGCTATTATGCTCATGCAATCATACAAGTTATGCAACAATATGGCACCACCTATTCTATATGGCATGTTATCGCAATAAAGCATGTTATCAATCATATAATCTATACCAATCAATAAAAGCATTAAATAATAAATCATAATTACTTTAATCCATGGCATGGCCTTCCTATTTTAAAAAAAATAAGATTAAATTAAATTGAATAATACAACTTTGGAATTCGACTTTCGCCTAGTCCATAGTATCTGTCTCAAGCCCCTTTAGGGTTTCATGGGCCCAAAAGCCCAAAGACCAAATCCTTTGGCGAGAAACCCTAGGACGCGAAAGAGGAACCCTAGCCGTCAGGTCTGTCGCGCCGTCACCCAAAGTCAAATCAGGCTGAAACTCCAGGGGAAGGACCACCACGTAGAGACGAGTGCACGGCCGCCAGAACCACCCAAAAAGGTGGCCGGATGCTCCCTCACTATCCCATTCTTTGCCGGAGAGTGGCGGCCACTCTCAGCCTCTTGTGGAGGCGCGTGGTGGAGCGTGGAGTCTCCGATGGCGGTGATCCACCCACCGTTGCGTTCGTCTTTCCGTCCTCTTTCCAACCATATATAGATTGCCCCATTCCGAGATCGGTAAGTCCTCGAAAAGTCTCCGAAAGTGCTGACTTCGCATCTTCCTCGCGATTTCTCGATCTTGAACTTTTACAAAATATTGAAAAAATACACAGAAATTCCAAAAATAAACAAAAACAGCAAGGAGGAAACCTAATCATATGGGATTAGCCTCCTTGTTACAAATCGAGAAATACACGAGAGACCCTAACCATGGATTAAAGCATTTTTACCGATTAAAATTTAAACTTTTATGAAAATGAATTATAAAATACACATGCTAGATTCATACCATAATCCTAGAACCCTAAGTGCCACATTTCAAGAAGCAAAACTAATTACATGAATAGTGAAACTAGATTCACATACCAATGTACAGCCAAGGCTCTGATACCAATTGTAGGAAATCTTAGATTTATGCGGAAGCGGTTTAGGACCTAGTACATTGGTATGCTTACCGAATCATCCTTGTTTCATAATTACCTCTCGGTGCGCAGGTCTCGTGTAGAATCTTCCCTTGTAGGATTCCTCCTCACGAACAGCTCACCTCAGCGCCGCACGAACAACCTCCTTGAAGCTGGACTGTGGCAGATCTTCCAGACTATCTCTCGAGGAGGATGGGATGGTTATGTGGGCAACCGTTCAGATGATGAACGTCTGCCTCTTGGGGTTTGTTTCTGATGATCTGTTCACCTTGGAGGCACAAGAGGAGAAAACTAAGAATATATACGCTTAGGTCTTAGACATAACTCAACCCTAAGCCACATGGGCTCAAGTTTCACTGAAGCCCAATAAGACTTTAGTGACCAAAAGAGTATATATCCAACAATTCTATCAGTTGAAAAATATACAGCTCAACAGATTATATTGTTGTTCACAACTTAAATCTTCTTCTTCTTTTTTTATTAATTTGGCACATTGCTTTCTCAACAATTATATGTTTTACATAAAAAATCTCCAATACTTTGATGACTATCTTTTCATCACGATAGATCTTTCCCCTAATAATATCAATGGTTCAATGGGGTAGCCGAGTATTTCACTTCCAAGGAGTTTTCTGAATTGGTTGATCTTTTCACAAAAGCAGGGTAGATCAAATATAATCAAATGAGTGAAACCTTGACTATAATCTTCAAATAAAAGAGACAAGTATGGGTAGTGAAAAATGAAAGTTATCCATGATATGGGTCATTATGGAGCACAAAAAATATTTAATCTTCAAATATTTAACATCAAATATTTCTTGTGCTCTATAGTGAATTAGTGATCCATATTTTGTACCAATAATTTTTGTTGTTCAGTGCATGTACTTGTCTCCTTTATTTGAAGATCATGGTCAAGGTTTCATTCCTTTGATTATATCTGCTCTACAAACTTGAGTCTGGCATCACAGCTGCAGTCATATTTATAATTGAGGTTGTTTCCTAAGGTGATTCCGAATGATAAGGATTCTGTTATTATGAAAAAAATGGTGTGGAGATTACCGTAGACACGAGTTAATCAAAGTTGTTGATATTGAAGTTAAGATGGAGTTGTCCTAAACTCTCTTTATAAGAACCCGTGAAACTTGCGATTTAAAGAGCATAATGTTGAAAGAAATAAATTGTGTTCATTTTCAAATTCAGGGGCGTTATTATGCTCCGTGTGCATGCCTGCTGCTGTGCAATTAATGCCCGATGCACGTCTTACTGTCATGAAAATGGGGTTTGCAGTACCAATTTTCACATTTTTATGTTAAAAGTGCTCCTTGTGTCACACAAGGAAGCTAAAAACAGTGCCACAAGATTACTTTTTTTTATTTTCCATATCTTATGTGTAAGTTTGACCAGACTATGCATAATAATTTTTTTCCATCTCCACAAAACAACCAAAATACTTTTAATACAACTTTTATCACTATTATATCAGTTTTTTTACACTTATTTTTAATATTATTTTTTATTGTTGAATGAAATCTTATATTAACATAACTAATAAAAAATATGCTTAAATTATTTAATAAAATTTTATTAAATAATAAATAAAAAAGTAAATGAGAGGATAAGGAGAGGGAAATTGATAGATGCCAGTTGTAAGGGACAGCCAAGCGAAGCGAACGCGGATTGGGGATTTCAGTGAATTTTAGTGATAAGAGCATTTGTCGCTGTCATCCAATTCAGTAGTGTTTTCACTTTTTATTCCTTTCTTTTTATTATGCTTTGGGCGCTTCGCTCCCAGTTACCAATATTCCTCTTCACGTGATCCTCATCGTTTTTTCAATTCTTCACCTTTTCTTTGTTCTCTTTTTTAATGTTTCTCCTGAGTCCTGACCTAAAACGTAATTTTATTTTTTATATATAAAAATATATAGAATTTATATGGGCAGACATGAAGAGAAAAGAAAAAAAAAATTATATATATTTATATATATATAAAAAATTAAATTATTTTTTATAACACGATAAATATTAATTTTAATAAATTATTATAGGACCATGATATTCTTACACCAGTATAAGAATTAGAAGTCTTAAGTTCAATCTTGACCATTGATCCATTTGTATCCAATGGCTCACATTACTAAAAAATTAGAACCCTTAAATATAAATGATATCAATGGATAAGATTGAGAGTGTAACTTACACTGATATAAAAGGATCCTGACCAGTTATTATAATGAGACAGGATCCTTTGACACCGGTGTCAAAGGAAAAGTTTGACACCTCATTTGAGAGCCGTTAGATTAAAAAATATCAACAATTCTGATTTGTAAGCATGTGACACCATTGATTTTTTTTTTAATTTAACGACTCTCAGATGAGGTGTCAAACTTTTCCTTTGACACCGATGTCAGAGAACCTGCCTCTATTATAATATCTACAATAAATTTAAAAGTTCATTAAGCTGGTTTCGCAACTTGCTCACAGTCACAGCCAAACTAAACGACGACTTTAAGCGCCGTTTAGAAAGACCGCTAGCTATAGTGAAGCTGTTTTGTCCCCACTCTCTCTCTCTCTCTTACGTTCGAGTATTCACTTACCTTAATGAATACATTTGCGGTCGGTATACGACAACTATCCCCATCGCTCCACGAGGCTTGTCTTGGCACGCGCCACTACTACAAAATACAACAACAGAAAAAAAAAAAAAATATTTGAATAAAGGAGAAAAAGGAAAACTAAAAAACATAAACATAAAACATGAAAATGTTCGTCAGAAAGTTAACTAAACATACTACTCTACTATTTCATGTTCAATGTTCATACAAATGCCTAGAGAGAGAAAGGTTACTACACAAGTTTCTGGTAGAAAGAGAAAGTGAAGGAGGAAAGAGAAAGTGAAGGAGGAAAGAGAATCTCATAGCCTTTGGAGTTTGCTTTACTCTATGCTCTACTACACTCCCCCATAACACCACCACCCGGGTTTCCTTTCTCTCTTCTTTTCACTCTAATCATTTTTTTTTTTAGTTTTTTCGTGTATGTGAGTGTGGGGTACCTGAGTTTTTGACTTTAAAATCCCTTGATTCTGCTTACTGAAACATCGTTAAAAGGTGCTCCTTTTTTCTTTTCTTCTTATCTTTCTTTTGTTAAACTGCGCAATTATTGTGACTTTTACTTTCGGGAAAGGAACTCTTTAGTACTCTCAGAGTCACACTGTTACACTATCGTTTTCTGCTGTTATTAGCCTAACTCTATTTTCCCTTTATTTTCTTCTCTGTTTAATTGCCAGTCATTTCAGGTAGTTGGGTCTTCTTCTTTTTTAGTGTGTGTGTGTTTTATGTGTTTTGGGAGGATGAGGGTTGGTCTCAGATTTGGGTTTGGATTCATTGATTCTTGCAATTTGTTGTTCAGAGTGTGTTGAAGTTAGGAAGAGAAGGAAAAAGTTATGGCAGGAGGTGGGGGAGGAGCTCCAGCGCCTAAGGCAGATGAGCCACAACCACACCCACCAAAGGATCAGCTACCAAATATTTCTTACTGCATTACAAGTCCTCCTCCATGGCGTGAGTTTCTCTCATGATAGATTCCATTTATCAACACTTACTTTGAACCTTATTCTTCTTAAGTCTTAATCGATATGGGTATATTTAAAAGCATTTTTGTGTTTTTGATATGCTAACTTTTTGTAATTGTCAAAAGTGGCTTTCTATTAATTTTTTTCCTTTTAGTTGCCTGATTGTTGATTAGAAAAAAAAAAAAATATATATATATATTCTATTGAGAAATTAAAAAAGACCTCATTCTTTAGCTGATTATGATTTTTTGTTTAGCAAGGGATGTGGAGGAAATAAGGGGGGAAATAAGAGAAAAAAGAATTCAGGGTTGTTTAATTCATGATTCATGCCTCATAAGTTTTTTTTTTTTTTTTTCCAAATTAATAATCGTTTTGTTTGTCAGAGGAACTTGGGGTTCTGGTTTATGCAGTGGCAATCGAAGTATTTTTATTTCTCATATGAGTGGAACCAATTTGAAGTCCTATTTCCAATTGATTGAGATTATTGGCCTGTTTAAATTGTTTTGTAGAATAGTTGATGAAATAGGTGTTTTTTGTGTTTTGAAAATTAAAAGTCAAAACACAAAACACAAAATAAAAATAACTTAGATATTTTCTTCAAATTTGATTCTAAAAACTAAAAAAACAGTTATAATTTTTAGAACTATTTTTTCCAAGTAAGCCCTATTAAACAAGTTTTTTTTTTATTCTGAAAACTAAAATACTGTTCTCGAAAACACAATTCAAACAAGCCCTGTGCTTCTTGTTTTCCCTTCTGTAACTCTATTGTAATTTTACTTCCGTATCGAGGCCTCTTTGCAGTTATTTCTAGATGCGGATTGGGTGCTTTACAAAACATTTTGGTACTACTTTTAATTCTGACCCCTGATGAAATCATTTTAAAATTTTTTATTGGTTAATTATAAGTTTACGATGTTTTTCATGTTAAAGGAGATAAAATTATCTCTTGTGCATACATAAAAGTGTGCGTGGCCCATGTGAAACTATGTGAGGAGAAGAGCGAGAAAGGGAAAATATGAGCCCTATACACTTTTATATATGTATAGAAAATGCCATTTCCTGTCATCATCCTAAGTTGTTTAAATTTTAAATTTTAAAAATCCCTCTGTTAGAGAATAAAACCATTAATGGAAACTCACCAACAATTTAAGCTTTTGGGTTTTGTATCATAGTATTATGGAGTTTCTTAGTACAGATAAGCTGTGCCTGATGTATTATTCACCGCCCAATGAGCTCCTCTCGTGTGAAAAGACGTGTTAGAGAAATATAATATAAAAATGTAAAATAGCTTAAGTTTTGGGTTAAAATGATTATTTAGATACTCTCTTTCCTTGGGCTTTATATTGTGGGAATTGTGACTAAAATATCTTATTTTCTTTTTCTTCTTTAATTTGATGAGAATTTGGTGGCATTCTGATGCAGCTGAGGCAATACTTCTCGGTTTTCAACATTATATTGTGATGCTCGGTACATCTGTGCTAATTCCCACTGCTCTTGTTCCCCAGATGGGAGGTGGCAATGTAAGCATTAACAAATTAAATATACTTATAGAAACAATTTTTAAATTTATTTGCGGAATAATTTCAAAAGGGATATCTGACAATTTTATTGAAGTTGCTCGTTTCTTCTAGCCAAAAGTTATATTTATAGAAAAAGAAAAGAAAAATAAAGGTCCATTTTTTGCAGGAGGAGAAGGCAAAAGTTATCCAAACACTACTCTTTGTAGCTGGAATTAACACACTGCTGCAAACACTGTTTGGAACTCGATTACCTGCAGTAATTGGAGGGTCTTATACCTTTGTTCCAACAACAATCTCAATTATTCTAGCTGGTCGATTCAGTGACGAGCCAGATCCTATAGAGGTATTGTATAAGAAATAGTATTGCTGTATATTGTGCATGGTTGATCTGCTTGCTTTATTACTTTACATTGTAATCAATTATCAATTTCTAGATATTTTATGGCATAAATGTCATCAGAAAACTAGCAACCATGCCGTGCTTTATTCTATTGGAAATAATAAGAGCATAAGTTTTCCAATGAGAGTTTGTTTAATCGTGGTAAGATAGAACTACGTCAACTCCAAGGTCTGGGTTTCAATTCCTGGTGGGCTTGTGGCATGCCTCGACCATGGAATGGGACAATTTGAAAAAAAATTAAATTATTCAAGAAGCAGAACATGACATAACATTTTTTTGGGGGGTGCATGAAATGCTGTTTACTTTATTCCCCTGCTTTTTGGCTTTATTCTTTTTCTTCTATTCAGAAATTCAAGAGGATTATGCGGGCAATCCAAGGTTCTCTTATTGTTGCTTCAACTCTTCAAATTGTACTAGGCTTTAGTGGCCTTTGGCGTAATGTTGCAAGGTTGGTCTCGATTTCTTAGTAAGTGGCTTCATTATAATTTTTTGGTCTTTATATATGTTTTAAAGATGTCTAAACTGAAGAATAGACCAGATTTATGGATGTCTTTTCCAAGTATGGTCATTGCCAGTTGTTACTATGAGCTGAATTGATGTTTGAAGTACATATTATACTGACATGCTTGAGTGATTTGTGCAATAGAATTTGTGTTAACTATGTTGTCCCCAGAAACTGAAAAGATTAAAATAACTCAACATTCTTGTGATTGAGTGTAATATTCCCAATTGATGTAAGTTCAACTTCTTTCTTCAGGTTCTTAAGTCCCCTTTCAGCAGTTCCTTTGGTATCTCTTGTTGGTTTTGGGCTGTATGAGTTAGGCTTTCCTGGGGTAAGTCTTCATTTACATATTTAAACTGCAAGCCTTCGAAGTTGATTGATAAAAATTATTCAATATTGATGCCTGGGCTTGGGTGTAGGTTGCTAAATGTGTAGAGATTGGACTGCCGGAGCTTATATTGCTAGTATTTGTTTCACAGGTAGAGTTCTTTGAAGTATCATAAACCCAGTGTCTACATTTCAGCGTCATGATCTCAGTTTATCGTGTTCTCGATTTCTTTACTTTTTTAGCATGATGGTTTCTATCAAACTGAGTTTGTTAATAACAGTTAATGGTTGTCATGCAGTTTGTACCCCACGTACTACATTCAGGAAAACATGTCTTCGACCGTTTTTCTGTTTTATTTACAATTGCAATTGTGTGGTTATATGCTTTTGTGCTCACTATTGGAGGGGCCTATAATCATGCTGCACCTAAAACACAGGCAACGTGCCGCACTGATCGTGCTGGCTTAATAGATGCTGCTCCATGGTTAGTTGTGGAATTTCATTGACTATTTATTCTAAATGGTGTTTTTTCTTTGGCAACTGATCATTTGATTACACAATTTTATACGACCTTTTCTTCCCAAATCCCATCTGTTGAATACAATACCATATCAATTATAGGAGAAGCCACTTTTATGCCACGAGGCTGTTGAAATTATGAATCACAAATCATTTTTGGTGAATAAATGTCACAAATATCATTCTTGAACCATTTTTGTCTACTTATTATTTTGAACCTTATAGGATGGGCTAATTGATATTTTTCAAGCAAGATTCAATTACATCCTTTAAATGTTAGTATTTAGGCAGAGCTTTGTGAGTTATAACTTATGGGGAAGTATTCAATATGGATTTTGGGTTTACAGGATACGAGTTCCATATCCATTTCAATGGGGAGCACCTTCATTTGATGCAGGTGAAGCCTTTGCTATGATGATGGCAACTTTTGTTGCTCTTGTAGAGGTATTTCTTTCTTTATATCATTTCTATTTCTTTTTAAGTTGGAGCAAGAATTCGTTTTTGTTTATTAACTGGTATTAATATATTATTATTCTTATGCAATTTGCCTCTGGTGAAATTATCATGTTTTTTTAAAATAAATTTCACAACTATTGTAGCTTAGCATCATGGTTGATTTTTATTTTTTTTAATAAAGTATCTAGTGCTGAAGTCGGGTTTATAACTCTGAGAAAAGAGTTATCAGTAGTTTAGCTATTGTAAAAAGTCAGCTGATTTTGTTTTCTTGAATGGCAATTGTTAAAACCATTCCCCATTAAACTCCAACTAGCAAGGGTAAGAGTGAAGATAATCTTTGTACGTAGTTTTACCTTTGCATATTTGCAAAGAGACAATTGTTAATCAGGAACAATATTGATAACTTTAACCACTTAATATATTTAATGGATTTGTATGAGAGATTTAGCAGTCAACTTGAAAATGATTACTACACTAAATCATGGTGATTTAGGGCGGAGACAGTGACTGGAAGGATAATACGATGTAACCGCACCAAATGGGAGGGGGTCTAAATTACTTTCTTCGTAGTAATGCAATAGTTTTGACATTTTTTATGCAATTCACTTGAGTAAAGTAATATTAACATGTTATTATATCAAAATTTGGCCCTGCACATAATAGTGTTACTATACATGCTGGGATTGTCTGGCTTGTATACATGTGCATTAACTGAAAATTAGGATTATGTGGTTGCTAATTTGCATTTTCATTGAATAGTACTGCTTAAGTAGAATTAAATTATATACTCACGTTCTATTTGTTACAAGCAGTCCAGTGGAGCTTTTATTGCTGTTTATCGGTATGCAAGTGCAACACCAATGCCACCATCTATTCTTAGTCGGGGTATTGGTTGGCAGGTATAAAAATAGCTAGTGCTTGCATTTAAATATCTGTAAATAATTTTGATTGCATTTATAAATAATGGTAGTTCAAAGTCAAAATTGATAACACTGATGATTGTGCATTTTACTTCTGCTCTTCAGGGAGTTGGCATTCTGTTATCAGGATTGTTTGGAACTGTAAATGGATCCTCTGTATCTGTGTAAGACTGAAATCTTTCTGTTTATATACTTCAATTAAGAGGAACCAACTTCCTTGTTGATGAGGTATTTGTTTGGTTTCACTATAGAGAAAACGCAGGTCTTTTGGCTTTGACTCGTGTTGGCAGTAGAAGAGTAGTGCAAATATCTGCTGGTTTTATGATTTTCTTTTCAATTCTCGGTGAGTTAAATGTATGAAGCTTAGTGCAATGTTCATAATTTGAATATCTAGTTTGCCTTAGCTTAGTGCACTTCTTCCCTTCAACACTTACTATTTACTAATTTTTCTTTATTATGTAGGGAAATTTGGAGCAGTATTTGCCTCCATTCCACCTCCCATTGTTGCTGCACTGTACTGCTTGTTCTTTGCTTATGTTGGTATGCATGATTTAAGATATACTCATAAGGCATATTCAGACTTTTGATTTATCTTGATACTTACAATAAACAGCATGTGATGTTTCACTTTCATTCATCATTTGTAGGTGCGGGAGGTCTAAGTTTTCTTCAATTCTGCAACCTCAACAGTTTTAGAACAAAGTTCATATTAGGCTTCTCTATCTTCCTGGGCTTGTCTGTGCCACAGTACTTCAATGAGTACACAGCAATCAATGGTTTTGGTCCAGTCCACACCGGAGCAAGATGGGTATGGAACTATAGATATGATATATAAAGCCATGAACTTGTTCTTATTAGCTTTTTGAGGAGTTCATTTACACTGACATTTTTATGTACCTGGCAGTTCAATGATATAGTCAATGTCCCATTCCAATCAAAAGCATTTGTTGCGGGTGTTGTGGCATATTTCCTGGATAACACAATACATAAGAAGGAAGGTTCAATTCGGAAAGATAGAGGAAAACATTGGTGGGACAAGTACAAGTCCTTCAAGACTGACACAAGAAGTGAGGAGTTTTATTCACTTCCTTTCAATCTAAACAAATACTTCCCATCTGTGTAATTGTGCAAAGCAGCTGAACTAATAATAGGTGGTTTCATCAAATACTGCTTCACCAAAGTATCTAAAAGGTCGTGATTTAATCTTTGTTCTAATAGAGATTGGATCTTATTACAGGCATAGTTATATGAAGTCCTCCTTGGCTGTAGAATATTCTAAAACATTTGTTTTATTGTTTTTCGTTCTGTAAATGCTAACCTGGAAAGTGGATTCACGGTAGTAGTGTGCATGTTTTGTTTATCATTCATTTTATATATATCACGTTCCCTTTATTATCTTCATTTGCTTCATACAGTGCATTTTTGTTATATTCTCCTAGTTAACCGTTATTCAATTAAATCTTAGTTACCATATCGTAGTATTTCTTTTGTTCAACAATAATATAATTTTTTTTTATCGTTGACCATATTTTATTTTTGAACGGATACACTGCTAAAAGCAGTTATTCTTGCCACATTTCTATCTTCAATTATTTATTGGTTATTAGCAACAACTTATTTTCTCTTAGTTTTGTTTATTGCACTTACCATAGGGAAAAAAGTATCTAATGCTACTTTAGATAATTTTGTCTAATGTTCATCGAAATGATGTCGTTTTGAGATTGAAAAATTACAAAATTAGAATGATAAAACTATTATAACTCTGAAATAAATTAAAATTACAAAAATACCATGATTTTCGTTTCAAAATGACGTCGTTTCGATGAACATTAGATAAAGATATCTAAAGTAACTTTAGAAAAAACAAACCCTTTTTAGGAATATAATTTCTCATGTTGTATAAGATAAAATTGTCTAATGCACAGAAAAAAGTGAATGTGATTCACTTGTTTTCTTTCTTTTTCTTCTTCTAAATAGGTTTTGCCCATTTTTTTGTGTGTGCATATGAAATTATATTACCTAATTCTTAACACATAAATAACAAAATATTATTTAAGGATTATTATATTTCTTGATACACAAATAAGTTAAGCAAAAGCATTCATCATATTTAGTTAATTGTTTCTCCTCTAATATGAGATGAAGTTATCTCTTATGATTCCGAAATATAAATGTTTAAAAAATTTATTTTTTTCTTGTATAATAAATTTTACTAAAATATCATGTATTATTTTTTCTAAGCATGAGATAATTTTATCTCACATTGTCTGAAAAAAAGTTAATCCCTTTTAATACTATTATTATGCAAAAAAAAAAAAATCTCCTTTTATTATTTTAAAATTAATGAATATTTTCCATTTTAGAGAAATAAAAAATAAAAAGACAAATATGATTTTGTTTTCGAAAATAATATGAGCAAACAAGATGTTATGATGTTATTAACCTACGTATGCAAATTTTGAAATCATTCATTTTACATTAATGCATAGACAGAAGAATCTATTGAATTCCATAATTTTGAATATAAAAACTTAGAAGAATTTACTCAAACTTAAAAATTCCATAGAACTATTTCAAAGGGAGGTGTACTTAAAATAAAAAAAAAAAATGATTAAGAATAGATGTGGGAGCCACGTGATATGTCAGGAATGACACTATATTTGTATATCTGATACGATGCTGGCTTTGCCGCAAGATATAGTTTCAGAATAAAGGATATTTTCAGTACTAAAATTTTGACTATCAATTTACTACCGATTTAATCACCATTGAATTAGGATTTTCTCTCTTTTCAAAATTTTTTTAACATTCTTTCTCTTTGATCTAATGGTGATTAGATAGGTAGTAAGTTAATAGTAAAAAAATTTAGTAGTCAAAATATCCTCCCTCATAGTTTCAATATTATTTTGTTCTCCAATTGCAAATGCCAAGCACCTTACCATGCTCACCCACACACCATAATAATTTCACATCCCTTTGTCGGATTTTTTTTAATCCTGTCAGACTTATTCACGAGTATGTTAGGTTGAGTTACACGGATTTTTTTTAATGTGCTCTACAAGCGGTCCTTTATTAAAAAAAGAAATATTTTTTCTCATTTATATTCCCTTCTTCTTTTTAAATTTCTTTTTAATTTTTTTTCCTCTTATATTTGGAAAGGGAGCACAAGGAAGCACAAAAAAGGAGCTCAAGTTACATATGTGAGTTAAATACATTGAGAAAATATTTTTCATATTGAAATACATGTCAAAATATAAAATTAGATATTCATTAGTAACCTAAATTAACATCAAAATGTGTTCTAATAAACTAAAAAGTAAGGTAGTCAGTCTTAAATAAGAATAAGTCTCAATTAAATTAAATAAAGATAGTGTTTAATAATTTTGTTTGTACTATAGAATTTTTTTATCTGTCACACTTATATAAAAGTTAGTGAGTTTCATTATATTTCACTAATATTTTCTTTTTCTCCTCATTATAATGAGATTCTTTCACTTTCATATGAGAATGGTAGAAATAAATTTTTTGCGTTAAAAGCATAAAGACATAATAAGAACCTGTTTGGATCCTCTCTTTCTTAAGTTAGAAGTTACTTATAAGTTAAAGTTAAAAAAAAAGTTTTTAAAAAAGGTGAAGTTGTTTGGTACTTACACAAAATTTTTAGCTTAAAAGTTATTTAAAAGCATAAATTTCAAGAAAACTTTCTCTCACTCTCTCTCTCTCTATGTCTCTGTAGCATTTCATCTCAAAAAAAGCACACAATTCAAGAAAAACTGATAAGAACTTAAAAGAAAGCTCATTCTAGGAGCTTTTGGCTTTTAGCTTTTTTTCATTATATAAAAAAAGATTTTTATTATAAGAGCTTTTCTCAAAACTTGTTTGTAGTTTCTAGCTTAAAAAAGAAAGGATCCAAACATGCACTAAGTCTTATTAATTGTTAGGTATGACTCATACTCCACCTTCGGATAACGACCCTCGTTGGCGGGGGCTTGGGGGCAACACTCCTAGACTAGCGCAAGCTTAGAATTATTATGGGCCTTTGGCTTATTTTATTTTTCTTTCTTTAGTAGTTTAGGTTTGGGTCCGTAAATAATTGTTACTGCTTAGAATTTTTGAAATTATTTATATTTTCCTTATTAACTAAGTAATATAATGAGTGTAATGACGTACGAGAATGTAATGAATATTACTTAGTATAACCACATTGAGTAAATTAGAGTAAATTTCGTGCCTCCATTTTTTTTCTCTTTCTCTCTTTTACTTTGCGATTACTTGTGTGTGTTTGTGTTCGTTTCCAATATGATCAAGTGTCTGATTCATGTTTAATTGTTTGAACTGTAAGTCAAACCAAATTACATTACAAAATAATTTACATAAAATATATTACAAAAATTTATGAAATGTGATCTAATTGGTGAATTTACGTAGGTTTTCGCTAGTCCAAAGTAATCAGATCGTCAATTCGTTGGAGATGAACTTATGACCAGATAAGAATTTAGTTTACCGTTAGACTAGTCAAACCATCCAATTCTTTTTTAATACAATAATATTACTGAAATTCGAACTTATGAAAATACTCTAACCATCCAATTCTAACAACAATGAGGCTTAACACATTAAAATACAAGTTTGAAACAAAATAAAGTAAGCTACCAATCCCTATAAGCCATAAACAATAAATTACATGAGTCAATTAAAGACAGTGTTATTACATATAACGTGTAAATTGATAAAATTGTTAACTTTATTCTTAATTTTTTCAATATATTTGTTGACATATCTATCGCTCTAAGTTTTAAACACTACCTGTGAAAAAATCTAAAGTGATTCAAGACCACTAAAAAATTTGATAATCTCTCTTTTAGGAAGAAAATTTTTCTTCCCTTTCTCTTTTTTACCCTCCCCATTTACGAGAAGGGAGCACCGAGTGAGTGGTGCTTTCGAAGAATCCAAATTTCTCTCCCTATCCGCTTGTCGTATATTAAGTAACAATAATAAAAATATAAAAAAAATCTTATTATTAATAAAATATTATACTTCAATTAAAAGGGTATGTATCAAAGAAAAAAAAAAAGGACCATCATCCATTTTGAACTTATAAATACCTGCAAGCTATTTTAAGTTTGAGGTCCTAACTCATATTAAGTTGCTGAAAAATCCGCAGCTAAATAGCTTTTATACCATAAGAAATAAAAAAAGGTGTGGATTGATTCTGTGTCGGTTGAAAGTTCACGGTTTAGTCAAAACAATTATTTACTCCAGAAAACCAAAAGTATAGAGATAAAGGCTGAAGGAAGTAAATTTAAGAAGAGATCGTGGAGAAAGGAAAGAAGCAGGGAATAGAGAAGGGAGAGAAAAATTAAGAGAGAATTTGGGAATCAAATAAATCATGTTTATTCCATTCATTTTCTGAATTATATAGGAAATTAAAGCAATCAGCAACTAACACTAGAGATAATAAAATCAAGCAGAATCCTAATCCTATACTACTTCCACGGAACGAAAACAACCAGATAAGCCAAGAAGATAACAACCCGTAAAATAAGCTAAACCATTAATCAGATAACTAGATTTCAAATAAACAACTAATTGCTACTGGAATCAAGGAGTGGGCTTCCTGACTCCCATCTCATACTCCTCCAAGTATTTGGGCTTCTGCACCTTCCTTTTGGGTCTGGTTCCTCTTAAGCCCGCTACACTGCCTCCCCCTTCAAAGGTGACCTTGTCCGCAAGGTCCACTAAATTTGGGCTGATCAAATCTTGAGTGCGATGAGTGGCACTGATTGAGTTGGAAGGCGAACTAGCAACGGCTCCTGTTGGCGGTGGGAAAGATCCATAAGGAGATAATGTAATCCCACAAGACAGACCCTGATTGGTCGAAAATGTGGCTGCCTCATTTTGAGTGGTGGATGTAAAAGGTGCAATGAAAGCTGGCTGAGACACGTTTTTGGGAGCAGGGGTGTCAGTCTCGAGACTCACGCTCTGTTGCTTACTCGAACAGTCTCCAAAAGAGGGGTCTGAGGAGTCTTGTCCCATCACTTGCCCGTTGGATTCACAATAATGCTTTTCATTTGCTCTTCCTGTATTATACACATTTGCCCACTTCTCTTTCAGCTTTGTATTTCCGTCAAACATCGCAACTGGGTTATCACCCATTTCCTGAGTGTCCCCTTTCACTCCCATTCGTCCATTTTGTATAATCAATTCGTTTTGATTTTCCTTCAACTTTATAGAGATGTCAGGGACCACGCCCTCTGGTTGGGTAAACACATCGCAAGGTTCCCTTTTGTCGGTGATGTCAGAGCTGGGCAGAGGTAGTTGTACCTCGGTTTCGTCTTCCCAAGTTGCCGCATCTGGAGGTAAGTCAGACCATTGAACTAGCACTTGTT